TTCCTGCCTTCACTTATCTAGGAAGCGTCGTTTCAACCACAACTGGCGAAACGGATGAGGATGTCAAAGTCAGAATCAGAAAGGCAAGATTCGCTTTCACCAACCTGAAACCAGTTTGGAAATCTTCTACACTCAGCATAAACAACAAGATTCGGATTTTCAACACCAATGTCAAATCGGTCCTTCTGTACGGTTAAAAACTTGCACTGCGTGTGTGTCCCGAAAAGGATTCCCAACAGGTTGCAGGCTTTCGTCAACAGCTGCCCACTTCGCTGGCTCCATACTGAAGTTCAAATGGTTGATCAGAGAGAATTAGTAACAAGAAACTCTGGGGACAAAATAACCAAGAACCAATCGCTCAACAAATAAATAGGAGAAAATGGAGATGGATCGGGGATACACTGAGCAGACCATCGAATGACATAGCGCGCCAGACCATCGCTCGAGTGTGGAGCGAAGAGTGGGTCATCGGTGTGAGGGTGACATGGAGGAGATCGTGTGGCGAGGAGGAGTAGATAAGAGATAATGGGCAATCGCAGAACTAGCTGTAGAGGACGTCAGAAAACAGAACAAAGTGGAGCTGTGTTGTTGAAGCCCTATGTTCCACTCGGAACCCAAGGGAACAATAATAATAAGACAAGAATATAAGACCAAGCAGTTCAGCGAAGAGTCTCTCACCTGTATAATCGTAACTGTACATAATTATTTTGTGTGTGTGTGTTTGTACATCAGGATCGTCAAACAAAAATAAAAATTAGTTAGGGTTATTGTCTACGTCATCTAAATGTTTCAAAAATGTGGTGAATAATCAAATCTTTGTTAAATTGTAACTAGGGGGCTGTGAATATTGGTAAGTATTGACAAGGGCTGCGTAATTTGTAAGACATCTGGAAAAAATAGGATGTTAATGAAAGAGCTTGGAGACACATGTCCAAAATAAATTATGTGATAGGCAAAAAGAGTAAATAAAGACGTTTAGGAAAAAGATGTTACTAAAAAGTCATACAAAAATTCAAAGAAAGCCTTATTAACAAAGTAGTGGGATTTGGAATTATACCCACGGTAGAAGGAAAGGGTGGAAAAGTTTTTTCTGTGTACAGAAATCACAGTTCTCTATCCGGATCTCTAAGACTTCGGTAATGCAAAGTATGCGGAAGCTTACCGTTAAGGGAGGCTTCTTTTGACTTTCTAGATGACTTTGAATAAATTCTTCTTACATATTGAGTGACCATTGTTGAATATATGTTCACTTATAACACTCCTCATTGGTCAATTGTTGCCTTTTCATAGCCAAGCAGGATACTGTTCTAAGACTCTTTTAGATAAAAAACAGACATCGAATGACCTGTATATCTCACTCCAGATGAGGAAGTGTGGCTTAATTTGCTGTCATTTGGCAGTTGATAAATGAATAAAATAAAATTATATCTATCTATCTATCTTTCAACAATATCTACGAGAGAGAGAAAGAAAAACTGACAGGATGAAGCATTAAAATGTGAGGAAAAAGAAAACAAATCAAGGTTTAATGAGAATAATTACAGGAGTGAGAACTTCGCCACTATTCCATCACTTGTATACATACACATACACAAACAAAATATTTTTAACTTGAAATGAACAGAAGAAATTTGCTTCTTGAAGTGATATGTTGATGAAAAGAATGAATGAATTCTAGATGAAAAGAGATAAAAGTAAAGAAAAAAAACTATGAGGAATCCTATTTGGTCGACAAAAGCATTTTTTTCTAGATAAGAGTTTTGAGGAAATATAATCATAAGATAAGACTTTAAGTGAATGTAGAGGAGGAGGCCAAGCATCGATCGCCATCAATAAGAGCAGTGTAAATGAAATCATCTCCTTCACTTACATGGCTAGCCAACTGCGTTCCAGCTACAAGTGGCACGGATAAGGGTATTGAAATCAGGCCCGGAAAAGCAATGCAGACCATCATTATTTTTTAAATATTTTGGATTATAGCTTGATTCCACACAGTACTTTTGGCACAAGTATGGAATTTTCAGCGTATGATATCGGTAGCCCGAATTTTGCAGGCCGACCAATGATATCAGGTGTGCATCGGCCGGGCCCACGTGCATGGTCGGCGAGAGTACTAACCACTAAGCCACCGACGCGAAAATCTACTACAGCCAGTATAAAGAATAAGATCCGGATCTTTAACCCTGACGTCAAATTATTGCCACTTTACGTTTGAAAAACTTGCCGCACTGGTTACCAAAAGCATTTCTAACAGGTCGCTGGAGACTTCCACCAACAGCTGCCTTCGCTGCCTTCATACTGGAGATCATATATAGTCAGAAACGATTAGAAACAAGGAACTCTGACAAAGAATCGATCAAGAATCTGTTGGCCAATAAATATGCAGAAGGAAGTCGGGATGTATTGCATTTCTAACTGAAGAAACCGTTGAGTAAAATAATGCATCAGGCAGTCGAGTGGAACCTTAGTAGGAAACGACGTGTTATGTGTGTGTGTGTGGGTCTGAGGTTCACAGTGGAGGAGGTCATCTATACGGAAAATGAGGACTGTAGAGATGTGCTCTTGAAGACCTATAATGCAGTGGTAACCGAAGGGAATAATAACAATAGTCATAAGCAGACAATATTAGGAAAATCATCGGAGAATAAGAAACACCATCTATCTTTATCATCCTAGTTTGAGATATGTGGGAAAATGGTGAAATCGAGAAGAGAATGAGTAGGTCTACCATTGGTCAGGTCATCACTCAACCATTCGTTTTAATTCTTTGCATTCCCAGTGGAACAAGCTAGAGGCTTGAAGTTTCCACAGCAGTGATGTTTATTTTTGGCTAACCTCATGCCTAACCTTCCCTCTTTACCAGTCTTATCACTCAACCACTTAGTCCATTTAAATATTCAATGGCTTGTTCTTCTCAGACTGCACCAAGCTGTTACTGAATTTCATCCTTGAAAACTTTCCTCACACCTTTCCCCTTAGGAATCAGCATTGTGTTAGAAATGGGTGGAAAAGTTCGGGTGGTGGAACAGTTATTAATGGATGACATCAGATGATAATCATCTTAGTTGAGAAACTGATAACACCAGATCACGTCTAAATGGTAAATTTCAAATCGTTCAGTCTGAATGCTCCTTGGCTTTATCCACCATTGGATATTGGACAGGTTTTGACGATGAATCTTAGGCAGGATTGTTGCTTGTAATGCCTAAAGATGACAAAATCTGCCTCGTAAAGGTTGTGCAATTTATTCAGAGAAGTCGCCACAACTTACAAACTAGCAACATGATGATCTCTGATCCAGGACTCTACCGAATGTGACACAAAACCCAAGGTATCACTAGATCCCAGTCTTGCAGCATTTATTTTCTAATTGTGGTTGACATATAACTGTTGTCTTGCTCCTGAATTACGCTGCTACTCTTTTCTTCTTACCTGTCTCTCAAAATAGCTGAATTACAGATACATAAAGCACATTTAGCTGATTAATAATCAAACGATATTTCTATGGTTGTATGCTTCAAATTTTTATATATTGTGAGAAGATGACTAACACAGACGCGAAAGAAAACAGGGACCATGAGGAAGTACTGGCTACCAGAACTGGTTCTTCAACAATGCCTTATTATTATTGTTCCTTTGAGTTCCTAGTGGAACACAGGGCTTCAACTACACGTCTCCACTTGTTTCTGTCTTCCGCTGTACTTTTCACCTGCATCCATGTTAATCCATACTGTTTCAGCTCCTCTTCACACGATCTCCTCCATGTCACCCTCGGACGTCCCACTCGCCGCTTCCCTTTCGGGTTCCACTCGAGCAATGGCCTGACGCGCAATGTCACCCAGTGGCCTCCTCAGCGAGTGTCCAATCCATTTCCACTTTCTCCTGCATATTTGTTGGGCGATTGGTTCTTGTTTCGTTTGTTCCCATAGTTTCTTTTTGATGATTCTTCCCGGCCATCTGATCTTCAGTATAGAGCCAGCGAAGACAGTTGTTAATAAAGGTCTGCAACAGGCTGTTGGAAATATTCTTTGTGACCCACCAAGTTTCTCATCCGTATAGAACAACTGACTGACTTGACGTTTGTATTGAAAATCCGAATTTTGTTGTTGATGCAGGCTGAGTGACGAAGATTTCCAGATTGGTTTAAGATTGATGAATGTGTTTCTCGCCTTCCCAATCCTCCATTTGACATCCTCATCTGTCGGTTCCTCCTGTGGTTGAGACAATGCTCCCTAGATAAATGAATGAAGTAACCTCTTTCAAATCCCTTCCGTTGATGGTGATTGGCGCTGGATGTTGCCGCTGTTGTTGTTGTTGGTTGGCTATTTTCATAACCTCCGTCTTGTCTATGTTCACCTGGAGTCCTGTCTTTGCTGCCAGCCTCTTTGACCAGTTTGTTGGTTTTCGCTTGTAAATCTTCGACTTTGTGTTACATCAAACATAAATCATCAACGCGCGAAATCCAGGTCTTCTAGGTTCTTCACATCGGTCCAGGATATCCCTGTCTTCTTGTTTTCCACTCTCTGACGCATAATCCAGTCCACCACAATTAGGAATATCATTGGTGATATTAAGCACCCTTGTCTGACTCCTCTGCCTTAACATAAGGCAATTTTGAAGATGTTAGCAATAACAATGAAATCGAAGAAATATCTTTCTTCCCATCTGCTAATTGCCAGCTGGATGAATGTGTATCCCTTAATGAGTAAAAGAAATTCTCATTGAGACTCGAACCCAGATTCAACTGTTTCAAAATACAAGACGTTATTTAATAGACTACTGAGCAATCAGTGGTCTATTAGTCATTTCAAATGACTATTTATTTAATCATGTTTAAGACTGAAGTATTGAAGTACTGATCCACAAAAAGTTAAGACAATAGTAATCAACTCTGTTTTCATTTAACAAACGGACACGTTCAAGATTTTGGTGTATTGCTTCTTCGCATTTTTTTCTCCTATTGTGATTAATTTTCTTTTGCTTCATTTCTTTCCTTTCAGACTGTATTTCCGGCATCTCAACCAGAAAGATTAATTGATTTGAAATCCACTGTTGATTTGCTCACAAGTATCACATTTTTCAGACTTAAAGTAAGCTGATGTTGTTTTTAAGAAAAATGTAACCTGTCATCATTAATTTCATTTAAACTATACAAAATATTCTTCTGTTTTAATAACAGAAGAATGACTAGTTAGAAAATTATATGCCCTGGATGTGTGGCGTTTGCTACTGACAAGGTTTATCAGTAGTATGTAAGGACACGTTCATCGGCACAAAAAATTTGACGTCATAGAAAGCAAATGATTCAGCGTTGCAGAGAAACATGGGAAACGTGAATGGAACACAAATAAACACAATATGAAGGCCAGAAGTTGAACTACACAGAAGATCCGTGCAAACAGTGTTTTGAAAATAGGGTGTTCATAATTTCGCTACACAGCAATAGAGACACGGCCTAGCTTGAAGTGCTACACGTGGGAATGGGACCCTGACCATGAATTTTACTCTCGAGCATTCTACCAATGAACCACTGACTATTCAGCATTACGACTCATCACCCTACTGGGGATCAGACTCAGGGAATACATAGGTTACAAGGCAAGCCTTTTGATCAATCAGCCACTGGGACATACAAGTGCATGCTTAAACTTGTACACAAAGAGCAGCTGGAATTTTGGCTTCACAATCTTTGAGTGTATCAGTTAGGAGGAAACAATGTTTCTCATTTCTTGATTAAAATGTTAAAAAACAATCATGATACCTGTTAATTATTCCTGAAGAATACCTCGGTATATTGACCTTCTTCAATGACACTTGTAATTCTGAGAGATCACTGTTGGAATATTCAGATCTCTTAAAGTGTTAACCACTGTGAAACCCACAGAGACGAAAAACCCAGTGGCCATAAAAGTCAACGTCATCTATAAAATAGTGTGCACGAAGTGCCAAAACTACTGTACTGGCTTAATTGAACATCCTCTTCCTCTTCGAATCCATGAACACAGTCAGACGATATGATATATCTGTGAAGGCAGGCTTGGTTAAGTGCTGTCTAAAAAACCGAGCAGTAGCACTAAGTAGTACAAGAAAAGACCTAAATGACGAAATAAAACAGAAAGGAGAAGCGTTGGTATCAAATAACCATCCAATAAAATTCATTAGGAAGATCTAAAAAGATCAAAAGCAAATTAGAAATAATTCTGAAACTAGTAATGATAACATAAATAAGAGACAATATAAGGCATATACATTTTTACCATATAAGGGGGGAGGACATCTGAGACCCTACGTAGGATTCTTAATAATGCAGGAATTAGGGTGGCATTCAAACATACAAACTCACTCAGAGACAAGCTCTGTAGGCTAAATGACCCAGCTGACCCAATTAAACAAAATAATATAATTTACAAAATACCTTGCAATGACTGTGAGTTAGGTCAACTACATAGTTCAAACTAGTAGGTCGAGGGTAGTCAGATTGTCGGAACATAAGACATTAGCAAAGTTAAGATTGGTTGACCTCGCGAAGATAAGTAATTTAGAGAGATTTAAAACAATGAGTCCCTTTTATAAATTCTGATAGCGTTATTAGAAGACGGAGATTATCTGAAAAATGTGATGTATTTGCTCTATACATTTCGAACAATCTGATCACACATTTACTTGTCAAGTCAATATATATGAAAAAGTTAAATTAAACAAAGTGACAAAAAAAGAATTAAGAATAATTAACACAAACGTTTGGTAATCCAATTAAATAAATAAATAAATACTCTGAGGCTATAGCTATTCACAAACTTAAGCCCCCTTGTGTATTCAAAAACAGTTACCTTGGTAATCCTTATTTAATTGGATTACCAAACGTTTGTGTTAATTATTCTTAATTCCTTTTTTTGTCACTTTGTTTAATTTAACTTTTCCATATATATATATTGACTTGACAAGTAAATGTGTGATCAGATTGTTCGAAATGTATAGCGCAAATATATCACATTGCTTTTCAGATAATCTCCGCCTTCCAATAACACAATCAAAATTTAGAGAGAAGCTCAGCAATAGGGTGGGAGAGCGTTGAAGTTCTAAAATGTAATATAGCTAGAAGCAGAAAGAGTGAGTTTGAATACTGAACCCTTGTGCGATGGGATGCAATGACTCATCACTCATACCGGAAATATGGAAAATACTACTACCAATCAAGTCAAGCGATGAAAAATAATGGAATTATATCAACAAAGTTGTGTGAGTAGTGTCTTGATATGATTATGAGCGGTAATAAATTGTGCTTGAAACGTGGTCATCAGTAAATATTACTGTATAACACTTTGAGACTATCAAAATAAATTTTACCCATAATGGAATCCGTTATGATATTTCTTCTTTGTCTCCGAGAAATGCAATACATTAATGAAGTTTTAAACCGCCTTATGAAACGTTTATCTTCGCCCAGAGAAGGTGCGACAGACCCATCCTTTTTCTTAAGTCATCAAACAAAGGATCCATTCGCATGATAACCTTCTAGCGTTGCTGTCAAATCAGCATCTTACTAATAATTGTTATCTTTTCTCAAACTATTCAATAGGTTCAGGAACTCAGCTCTCCACCGAGGACCGGTCAGATATTACGTGAATGCATTGAAGCCTGTATACAATCCACCTATCAATGCCTTTGTGAAAATGTACACGATTTATACGGAAAGAGTTTACAGGTCAGTTTACCACTGTACAGTTGAACATTTTATCTTATTTTTTTCGATCAAACTGCGAATTCAACTGATTCCATCGCATTTTAAAGTAATTTGTCTCACAAATTAATGTCAGGTAGAGAGAAGGTAAAATTCACTAGATTGCCTTTTTCAAATATATATTATGTCTCAACTATGATGTCGGTGGCACAGTGGTTAGGACTCTCGTCGACCATGCACGTGGTCCGGGGTTCGATCCCCTGCCGACGCACACCCGATATCTATGGTCAGCCTGCAAAATTTGGGCTACCGATATCCATGCTGAAAATTCCATACTTGTAGTGAAAATGTGGTGTGGAATCAAGCTGTAATCAAAAATAAAAATAAAAAAAATAGTTTCATTTTTGATGAAAAGAAGCCACTTCAAAATCGATTTACGCCTAACACTATCCCTTCAGTGCCTAATTTGTATTGCAGATTCATGTTTAACCATAATAAATGTGTGTATTGACAATGACTATTTATGAAGTCTCGTTGATATTGGCCCAGAGTAAGACAAAGGATGTGAATGTCGACTTGTTGAGGACTCATCACCTGGATGTATACTAATCCTCAGGAAGTGATAGTAAGTCTTCACTGCAGACATATTGAATAAATGCACAGTTTATGGCTGATGAGAATTCCTACAACACATAGTTGGTCCCGGCAACGAACATACCAAGATGGTGACAAGAAGGAGATCACCTGAAGAAGAAGAAGAACCGAAAGCCTGTAGGCCATCGTGCTACAGAAGCCCTACATTTCATTGGGAATCCAAGAGGCGAATAGTAGTGTAATATAATGTACAGAAGAACTGTAACACTTACATTATCTTTCCTACTGGTCTACTGAGCATTAAGCACAGTGCGCTGAGTACGTCGTCAAACTCATTAAACATCTAATGACAATCTGTGAGATTATTATGCAATGGCTACTTGACTTTTATTCCTTTGCGTTTCAAGTGGAACACAGAACTTCAAGCTTGAGCTTTGAAGTTTCAGTAGCAGTGGTATTTTTTTCTGCAGAGTGAAGTTGCTACACTCACTTCCAACCTCGCCTGCTTACGAGGCTTCCTGCAGTCTAAGTGGGGTTTTGGAGGGCATCGGCTGGAAATCGACTTGTAGCATAATTCATTCTTACTGGGGATTTTCGTTGTTGTTGTTGCTGTTGTCCCCTTCACTTTGTTGACTAATTCTTGGTTATTCTTAATAATAGGCAACAAACACAGAGTCCGGAGTCTCAGAATGTGGATCCGAAAATACAAGTAGTGGAGCGGGTGGTGGACAGCTGATAAACGGCGAATTAGATCAGATGGATGGCATGCGTTCACTAACCTATTGGCATCGTCTAATCACACTCGTTGTATCTGTACTGGAAGACGATAGAAAGCATTACGCTCCAGTATTAAATCAGTAAGCCTTTTTTCAACTCAAACTTTTATTTTTGCTTTGTTTTAATAAGCATAAATTGGGGTTAATAATGAAACCCAAGGCATAAGGATACAACCGTCATCGTAGTGACTTATTCTTCATCAGTTTTATCATAATAGAAACAATTTTACATACTACCTAAAAAGAAATCAGCAGAAATACCTGTCTGCCACCCAAAATGTCAGCACTGCTCAGCTTCACTGAACAAATGGCACGTCTTATCTAGTGAAAATCTCGAGACCTTCTGAAAGAACTCTCTCTCAAGAGAAATCCACTGTAGCTTAGAAGTTGAAAAAAGGAAATTCTGTAGTGTTAAAGGTAATAACGCTTTTTTGCTGCGTTGGTTGCTCAATCGTAGAATTCTCAATAACCATGTGTAGTTTCATACATTTGTTCCCCTTAATGAATTTAAACAAAGCAACAACTACAGATTTTGCAGAATAAAATGGTACCATATTTTATTTCGTCGCCTTCTCTTCAGCTGCTTACAGGGCAAAAACATTATTAAATGTATCTACAATAACAATTTATCATACTTACACAGAGTTCATTTTAAACAGAAATCAATCGATCGATATACACATACACTAATAATATATACATATATGTATATATATGCAATCTTGAACACAATTCCGAGCATTAATAATCATACAAAATGAAAACTTTTTAGTATCTCGCATTAGGATGAAAAATATCCAGTTACCAGGGCAAAGAAAGACTGATAACTGCTTCTTTCTGAACGCACAAATCAGGTTTTAGGCGCTTGATGGAAAAGGCTTCGGCAAACTTAAGGAGCATTGAACTCTTTTGCTTATTGATAATTTTGAATGACTTTTCCACGTCCACCTCATGACCCGTGTCAAGAAGATGCCTGGCGATGGCACTGCCTAAAGCATTTGTTCCCTTTAGACGTAAGCTTTTTGGTACATGTTCAGAAAATCGTAGATATGCTCTTCTTTCTGTTCTTCCAATGTAACTGCTCCCACCAGGCATCTTCTTGACACGGGTCATGAGGTGGACGTGGAAAAGTCATTCAAAATTATCAATAAGCAAAAGAGTTCAATGCTCCTTAAGTTTGCCGAAGCCTTTTCCATCAAGCGCCTAAAACCTGATTTGTGCGTTCAGAAAGAAGCAGTTATCAGTCTTTCTTTGCCCTGGTAACTGGATATTTTTCATCCTAATGCGAGATACTAAAAAGTTTTCATTTTGTATGATTATTAATGCTCGGAATTGTGTTCAAGATTGCATATATATACATATATGTATATATTATTAGTGTATGTGTATATCGATCGATTGATTTCTGTTTAAAATGAACTCTGTGTAAGTATGATAAATTGTTATTGTAGATACATTTAATAATGTTTTTGCCCTGTAAGCAGCTGAAGAGAAGGCGACGAAATAAAATATGGTACCATTTTATTCTGCAAAATCTGTAGTTGTTGCTTTGTTTTAAAACCATGTGTAGGTCTGGATTCGCTTCCTGCTCAGCTCACTCCTAAATCTTTCCCAGAAGGTAGAGAGACCAGAACAAGAGGGACGGTTGGATGTGAGCCCAGTAACTTTATTCTCCAAAAACATAACTCTGCTGCTACCTTGAACTATCAAAAACTTGAAGCTCTATATTCTACTCCCAAAGTAAAGAATGGAAAAATAACAGTGAGATTGAACTAAACAACCTATTTGAATTACGTGCAATTTAGGTGAATAAGAGCAATTTTAGAAATATGACGTAGTAGCAACAGTTGTGATAAGGAGAGTAAGTTGGTGGATGGAAAGCTTTTCATTATATGTATGAAAAAGCGCATTTATTTACTAATTTCAGTTTGAGGATTTCATCATGAGCGGACGTCAGTTAGAGAACCCATGGAAAACCATCAGGGAGCACTGAACAGCTATCCCGTCAGACTAGTTTAGGACTCCTCATCAGTACGTACTCACCTCACTGCCAACATTCACAAACAGGACCTTCAAGTTACAAGGTGAAAGACCTCGTATACCATTAAACCACTGGAAGTCGATCCAATGCCAGTCCATGAATCCCAACTCCTTCCAGTTCATGATATGGCACTACTAACAATAGCCAATGTCATCGGTGGCGAGTTTTTGTCCTCACACCCGACTTACTGTATTAGTAATAATAATAATAATAATTTGCTTTATTCCAAAAGAGTACTTGTGATACAGAATGGAATTCTCAGCATTTTTACTACAGTATTGCATCCAGTTAGTACATTATCAATAAATAGAATTCTACATAGATTAAGGAAATCTCAGTTCATTATGACAACAACATATTGGCATGTCGGTAGCAAAGCCAAAGTTGAACAGTGATTGAAGATGTTAGAAAAGTAGGTGCTATCATATTTACTGACGTAAGCGGAAGAAAGAAACAAAGCAGCACATAATTGGAAAAAAGAAAAAAAAGAGAGAGAAAAGGAAATGAAAGAAAGAAAATGTTGTACCTATAAATGACATGAGTTGGAAAGACGAGATCCAGTTGTTCTACTGACTATTTAGTGAATTATAGGTGTCATGCCTAATGCTTTCTATATCGCACAGAACACGAGCTAAGTAGGGTATGGTTGAGTTTTTGTACTTTCTAGTGCGAGCATATGGTTTTCTATATAGGCTTCTGGTTTTGCCTGATGAGATGCAAGGGGAGAGTTGTGAGTGAAGAGGGTGGTGTGAATTAGATAAAATGGATTTGGCCCATTCTTCACATGAGTCCATGTGCCTGTCGACCAGAATATTAACAAGCTGGTTAAGTGGCATGTTGCTTACCCTGCTGACAACCTTTAACATCCTGCGCAATAAGGTATAGTCTTTCTTCAGTAGCCCGGGAAAAACTAAGGAGGAACAATAGAGAATAATAGGCAGAACACGAGAGTTAACGAATTGTAGGAATAAGGGTTGGGTTAAACCAGAATGTCTTGACTTCTTGATGTAGAAGGTAAGACGGAATATTTTCTTAGAAATCGCCAAGATATGAGACGACCAGGAAAGATCAGCAGATAGAATGACGCCTAGGTATTTAATTTCCGACTTGGTTTCTATTTCAGTGCCGTCTATATTGCAAACCTCGTGAAAGCCAACCAGTTTGTTTAGGTCGGATTTATGCCTAAAGGTGAAATTTATTTTTTGGCATTTGGAGGGGTTTAAGGTAAGACCGTACCCCCCAATTAGGCAGTTACCTGGGTTCCAGTGGGAATTCCTGATCAGTGGGGTACACTAGGTTGGGTGTGAGGATAAATACTCGCCGCAGGTGACATTGGCTATTGTTAGTAGTGCCATATCATGAACTGGAATTCATGAGCTGGCCACTGGATCCACTACCGGTGGTTTAATGGTCTATGAGTTCTCTTACCTTGTAACCGGAAGTTCCTGGTTGTGAACCATGCCAGTGGGTTGGGTACGTACTGATGAGGAGTCCTAAACTAGGCTGAAGGGACAGTTATCAAGTACTCCCTGCAGGTTTTCCAAAGGTTCTGTAACCGATATCAGCTCATGATGAGATCCTGTAACCAATCAAATCTACCTAAACCAATTTATAAAATTTGAGTCCACTTGGTTTTCAGGACCAATCAAACACTCTTAAGTGGTACTCTTAGGATAAAGGTTTATAGAATAATGTCAGTATACTCATCTACACACCAAAACGTGTTAACTCCAAGGTGGGCATATCTTACTCTTTATTGACAGATGATGTTGTTTATACGATGAATAACAGAGAAATACTGACGTTTACTTTACAAGCATAACTGAACCAAAAGTTGTGTGAACAAAGTGTATCAAAGTTTAGTTGAATAAAAAGTTTTACTTATTTAATAAGCTAATTGCTTCTATCAATGTGTTTCACGTGAATTTTAGAACTAGGAAAATAAACTTCTTCGTGATAGACACTGTTTATGATTTAGCGGGTCTAAGATGCTCGAAACTGTACGTCGGTGGCACAGCGGTAGAGTGCTCGTCGACCACGCAGGTGGTCCGGGGTTCTATCCCCGGCCAACGACGAACTCCTTTACCTCGCTAAGTCAGTAGTAAATCTGGTAAAGAGGGAAGGTTGGGCATGAGGCTAGTAACCCCATCCTGTAAAAATAATCACCACTGCTACAGAAACTTCAAGCCTGTAGCTTGAAGCCCTATGTTTCACTAGGAACGTAAAGGAATGAAAAAAAGATGCTCGAAACACTTTTTGAGTGAAATTCTTCATTGACAGTAATAACAGGACTGCTAGAATTACAGATTCGATGAAACGCTGAATGAATTACTATCAGTTTTCTGTTCACAGAATTTATTAGTAAGCTGTCCATTCAATATAGTCCTTATAATTCTTCCTACCCTTTTTATCATTTGATGTCTCCACACTTCAAAGTATTTTATATATCCGTTATCGGTAGCATTACACTCTCGCAAAGGACTATTTTTCCCGCCTCAAACTGTGCAGTTCTTACAAATGATGAATTTCATTCCATGAATTAGCTGCTAGCCCAACTAACTGAGTCGAACTCATCGCCGATTTGGCAAACTGGCCATCCAGTGTTCAAATCACTCTGGTCTGGCTAAAGAAGAATAGCATAGTTTAAGGATGCTAATCCAAGAGGAACGAACATTTCAATAAGTGAGTAACAAGCAGTCGCTGTGGAAAGAAAATTCGGGCCCCTAATTAGCCCCAGCAAACCCTAATATATCCCTAATTAGGTTATAAACTGACCCTAATCTGTCTCTAGGCTAACCCTAAGCTTTCCCCAGCCCAAACTAAAACTAAATAACCTGTTTAGTATCCCTACACAGGATCCAAGTCCTATTTTCATGAATATAGTGTTATTTGGTTCGATTAACTCACTCTGCAGTTATGTTTCAAGGTCACTGGTGCGTTCAATCCCTTGGATTGCTGCTTATTATTTTAACCGCAAGCATGACGTGCTTAGTTTTCAGCCACTAGTATACAGTGTTAGTCTATTTTTCTTAAATATTCTCAATTCGTTCAATTTAATAGCCTTGTGTTGGGAGGTTTCAATCGACAAATACATTCAGATAAATACTGTAGATGTTCTGATGAACTGCAGAGAGTTCTACATTGCGTTCAATCAAACAAGTCAGGAATCAAGTGAATCCGCTTTTGGCATTCCTTTGTATCCCGAGTGGAATGTAGGGATTGGAACTTCTGGAATTACCGAAGAGATGATCTTGCTGCTACGGGGTAGGGCTTCTGGTTACATCATTCTTTCCGGGGCTTACGACCACCTAGGCGGACGTGTCCACCAAGAATCAAACCAGAACCAAGTGCTTGGTCGGTTAGCACTTTACCACTAAACCACTGATGCACAAAAAAGAGTTATCCACCAGACCTTTGAGCCAAAACGTCAAGTCAGTTCTTCTATACGGATCAAAAACTTGGCGGGTCACAAAAAATATTTCCAACAGCCTCTTGCACACCTTTATCAACAACTGTCTTCGTTCTATACTAAAGATCAGATGGCCGGAAAGAATCACCAACAAGAAACTATGGGAACAAACAAAACAAGAACCAATCGCCCAACAAATATGCAGGAGAAAGTGGAGATGGATTGGGCACTCGCTGAGGAGGCCGCTGGGTGACATCGAGCGTCAGGCCATAGCTCGAGTGGAACCCGAAAGGGAGCGGCGAGTGTGACGTCCAAGGGTGACATGGAGGAGATCGTGTGAAGAGGAGTTGAAACAGTATGGACTAACATGGATGCAGGTGAAAAGTACAGCAGAAGACAGAAGCAAGTGGAGACGTGTAGTTGAAGCCCCATGTTCCACTAGGAACCCAAGGGAACAATAACAATAATAAATTTAATAGTATTTATTCGCCTTCATAAGTCATGAATAATAGACAATTTAGCTAGGAAATAATCACAGCTAATAACCAACAAGAAAACTGCAGCAGAATTGCTGCTTCCTGGAAAAAGCATGAAGTGTTAATTAGCTTCAAGAGTGTTGGATTACATTCCGAGTGGATGAAGGGTCCAAAAGCCGTTACTTGTCACCTGAAAGTCCTGCGTTCGATTTCTGGTAGGATCGTGATCTCCCACTGATGAAGAGTCCAACAGTGGAGCGAAACACCTGTCCACTGTGCTCCCAGGTTTACAAATGATGTTTATATATATATCATGATCATAAACTGTTTCACTGTTGTTGTTCTTTTTTTTCTCTCTGTTTTGTTAGATTTCCTCATGAAATTAATCTAGGCGATATGTCTGCTGAAATGGTATGGAAGTGTCTGTCTGAAGATCTGGCCAATGGATTAGCTCAACATACCCTTGCAGCTAAGTATTATTTTAATAGTACAGAAGAAGATACACTGGACAGTTTACCACAGATGGAGAAATTACGTCAAGCAAAATTGAAAGCAATACAACAGGAAATTGGACTAAGAAGTAGAATGCCTAAGATAAAGTCATCGGATTACATGAATCTTTGTTTCCGTGTTAAATGGTTTTACAACACGTATATAGCACCATTGGCAAGATTTAAAAATGTTGTCCCCGAATATCCACGGTAAGTGGCAACACTGTTTTGGTCAGTATTACAAAAAATAAGGTATATATATAGTTCTAAAAAAATAATTCTTTAGGAGACAGGGGGAAAGGATCTCATTCACAACTGGTTTGCAATCACAATTGTGTAGCTTTCTGTAGTGAATATGTGTTCAGTTCCCTTTCTCTGAAAATAATTTGAACTCAGCAGAACATGGCAGCAAGCGAAATCAACTGCAGGTGACTAAAATTGGTGAACATTAGCGATAGCACGTCCATTTAAAAATAACAAATCGTTATTATCTTTCTTATTCCTTTACGTTCCCCAGTGGAACATAGGGCTTCAAGCTACAGGCTTGAAGTTTCTGTAGCAGTAGTGATTATTTTTACAGGGTGGGGTTGCTAGCCTCATGCCTAAACTTTCCTCTTTACTAGTCTTCTTTTTTCCTGGCTTAGCGAAGTAAAGGAGTGCCTCGGTGGCTGGGGACCGGACTCTGGATCACTTGCGTGGTCGGCGAGCACTCTACCGCTGTGCCCCCGACGCACAACAAATCGTTATACGAAATTATAATTTCAAATTTTCTGTTGTTCGGTTCCATTGGATAGAAATTTCCAGTCTCTCTTGTCATGTTGGTTGTTAGTACGAATGCTTCGACAACATTTTTAGATTAATATGATGGCGTTTGTTGATGTTATCCGGTAGACGAGTAGAGTTCAGTTGACGGTGGCTGAGCAGACACCGTCTTGATTAAGACTCCCTAGGCGGATTTTTTCTAAATCTTCGGTGAGTGATTATTTCCCCAAAAAATCTCGAAACCAGAACTAATTACTTGAAACATTCAAGCATAATCCATTAGGCCACAAGAGATGCCTCTTTTGCATTAAGTATTGGTCGTTATTTATTCTATCTAATTAGTATTGCTTGCTAACTGATTTCAAGACTTCTGTCAGCAAAAACACCGTCAGTCACTGAGGATGCAGCTGTGTTCAGGTGATGAGTCTCAAACAGGACGAAGTGTACAGCCCAGATTCAAATGCTAGTCACCATTAACTTGTAAAACGGTCCTTTTGTCACACATTTCTTTGATTTCGCGAATTCACTCATCACTGCTTAGTCAACTGAGCGTTGAGATCTTAAATAAATATTGGTCACATAGAGCAGCTGACCGAAGTATAAGACTGATTGGATGTAATCACCCTGGAGACAACTACTAAACTCCTCAAACGACCATCTCACTGTCACTCTCTAACACACAGTCCCAACTCCTAGCTCCCATTCGGGTCCCACTCGATTGCCTTGAGGAGCATTGAGATGAAGTCTATCTGGTTTGTGGTGTGTTTGTCAGACGAAATCCCTGTTATTTGGCATATATCCTTGTGCTTTTACACGCCACTTCTAATCACCAAATCATTGAATGTACAAACGTTCGCGAAAAGTTTTCCATTCTGTAGCCGTTGATGTGTTCCTCCCTCATTTCTCCCACTTCCAGTTCTACATTCGTATCACCCACCAGGATTTTGATGTCACTGTTTACGGTCTTATTCATTACTGCATGCACTTGTCTGAAGAATTCTTTCTTCACTGTTGTTGGGTTGTTTGTAGCAGTGTAGCATTGGTTAATTGTAACTTTCTATCATTTTGAGTTGAATCTTGCTCGCATCCTTCAGAAGATTGGTTCCCGCTGCATGACAGCCTTGACTGTTGTTGATAACATCATGATAGCCACTCACTGCCTCAGTTTGCTCGTAGTTGTCGTCTGGGTGGCCAGAGTAGATTACTGACTGTTCAGTTGACAATTTTTAGACTGATTTCTCGTGAGTAGGAACGCCAACACCACACCCAACCTTCCCTCTTTACATAAACTTAAGACCATCTAGAAAACTAGTAAACTGGGTGAGGTTTCTGGAAATTCATGCTGACGGTAGCTTTTGGTGACAAGTACGCTTGCTCTTTAAAACAGCTGTTTTCTTCTTGGTTTCAGCGATTCCTACGCAAATTTTAATCATCTCTGTACTGTATAACACACCAGAGGAAGTTGAACATCACTCATCAACCTAGGGGAGAAATGATGAAATACTGACTTTGCTACTTTATGACTGTAGATTTAATCTACTAGTGGGTCATGCACATTCCTGGAATACAATGAACCAGTTATCCGCCAATTCTTCATTCGATACTGATCAGTTAGAGAACCTATCTTGAAGTCTTGAGAATGTCTAAACCTCCTTTCTCAAATTGCATGATGGAACGTTAAAAAATAATACACACAGAGCATATTGAATACCTTTCCGAAATCTCTAAACATTCACTTTTACGCTGAATTATACACGTTAGAATCTCTAAAGGAACATTAATTTCTGAGATACAAAGATGCGGTTTATTAATGACTTTTGGAAAGTACAAAGTGTAGATTAATTAGGAGTTCTTGTTAATCGACTATTATTGGTCAAATATCTAATAAATATTATGTGGAAATATATAAATTTATAATAATCAAGTGTTGGTTTGCAGAAATTTGATTGGTTACAGGATCTCATCATGAGCTGTCGTCGGTTAGAGAACCCATGGAAAACCATCAGGGAGTACTGGATAGCTGTTACATCAGCCTAGTTTAGGACTCCTCATCAGTACGTACCCAACCCACTGCCAAGGTTCACAACCGGGACATTCTGGTTACAAGTTGAGAGAGCTCGTAGACCATTAAACCACTGGGATTTGATCCAGTGGCCAGCCCATGAATTCTTACTTCTGCCAATTCGTGATATATATTTTATCACAACTGCTAGCCAGTGTGAGGGATGAAACGGCTGTCCAGTACTCTCAGACTTTTCAAGAGTTCTCTAGCTGATGTTAGCTCGGTTTTTTGAAAAATTGTCCATAGACTTATTAAAATAACTGACACATACTGTAGAATTTACACAGAGTTATTTCTTTTTGTATTTTAAATCACCTTGCGTTTCTTATTTATTTATTTATTTTTTCATTTTACACCTTCAGCTGGTTCGAAGGTCTTGTATTAATTTGGTTGTCTGAAAATGATGAAGTCTCTGCAAATTATCTAAGAAATGCCTATGATCGGGATAAACAAGACGGTTTCCAATGTTCCAGTGAACATGTATTATATTCAAATTCTGTTGTCGATGTATTCACTCAGCTGAATCAATGCTTTGATGTGATTCGTAAACTGGAATGTCCAGACAAAGAAGTAGAAGGACACTTTTTGCATAGGTTCTCATTAGTAAGCATTGAATATTTTGATGTAAATATATATATATGCATGTTACTGTGTGTGCATGTGTATGTGTGATTCTGATGGAAACAGGAAATTTGGAAGAGGCATTCTAATCCGCAAAATGTTGAATCATTAACAAGTCATATATCCTCTACATCTGCCTCTCTGTAATGATTATAACAAGAAATTAATTACTGATATGAATTCATGGGCTGGCCACTGGATCGGGTCTCAGTAGTTTAACGGTCTACGAGCTAGCTCACCTTATACCAGGAGGTCTTGGATTAGAACCCTGGCAGTGGGGTGAGTGCGTGCTGATAAAGAGTCCCAAAATTAGGCTGACAAAACAGCTGTCCAGTACTCCCTGCAGGTTTTCAAATGATTCTGTAACTGGTGTCAACTCATGATGAAATCCTTCAACCAAACAAACACAATCCCTGCAAAACCCATACATTCAAATGGAATAATTAATATGGAACATCCTAGCGATATATGTAAATATAGTGGTATTAGATTACAGTTCATAACGTGTATATAATAGTGAATACTCTCCATTAATGTTCATAATGAATGGAAAAGTTACTTCACTATTCTCTCGATAAATCCTTTTCGTAGAGAGGTATCATATAAACCAATCACCCAGACATTATTCTCTCGTTCTCGACCACAGTTGTATTTTCTCTTTAATAAGACAGTTTCAGTTACATGTACTATGACACCTTCCTCTCCCAAAAAGGAAGTGTAATCATCTCCATTTACCAGGATATGACATCGCTGCAATGCTAGTACCACTGAACTGTTGATACGAGACTATATTCAGTTTCAGAAGCTGCACCTCCCAGAGGCTGTTTTAAAGCCCAGTAATTACAAATATACGAAATTTGGGTTAAGGACAGATGGGACTTGACAAAAAATATTCCTATGAAATATACTAGAATCATCAGCTCACCTTCCCTGTCAGTAACTCGTCTCAAACAAATTGCACAGTGATGCACGTGTCCATTGACTAACCTGCTGAAGCTTTTTATAGTCATCCCATCTTCACATGAATAAATCCTTCCATTTCTAATCAGCCCCACATCTAAGCAATACTGAAAGACTTGGTCCTCACCAAATTTCAAACGTAACAGCGTTACAGCGAGCATTTGACTCGAATTAAGCAGAATAGAAGCTTCAACTCACATGAACAAAACTGAATGACCCATTCAGTGTCATTTGTACGAACGCACTTCTTCAGAAGTAAGATAAAGATGAATTAAAAGAATAAAATGAGGGAACGCATCTCCTGGATTCAAGTTCATAATCGTGGTAATATTCAGGCATCTGTTCTAGGAACTCATACACCAACCGCATTGAAGCTCATCATCAGTGTGCTAAGACACACCAACGGGATATTACGAAGATTTAGAGAGCAAAATGGATTGAGCGAAGAAATATTTACTTTTCAATTACATCCTCATCTCCCTCTGGCTCTACTCTAATACACATATCCACAGAATTTTTGATACAGTAGACAACAGTTTGCTAAGCAAATGGCACTGATATGTTTGTTAAAAATAATTAGTCAGGGCGGCGACAAATGATAATTAACGAAGAAAGTTAATACAAACAATTAGAAGGCAGAAATGGTTATAGCAAGTGGATTGCACAATGTATAATTTTAGAAAAATAAAGAGTAATTAAGGAATAAGTAAGTGTTCAAGCTGATTACATAAGAGATGATCAAAGAAAAATGAAACGATTTGGACAATTATTATTATTGTTCCCTTGGGTTCCGAGTGGAACATACGGCTTCAACAATACATCTCCACTTTGTTCCATTCTATGCTGTTCTCTTCATCTGGCTAGCTCCACGATTGGCTAAACTCTATCATCTCTTCCTCACACGATCTCCTCCATATCACCCTAGCACTGACAACTCACTCATCGCTTCCCATTTACATTCCGCTCGAACAATGGCCTGGCCCACATTATCATTCAACGGTCTCCCCAAAGTATGCAAAATCGGCTCTCGCCTGTTGGCTTGTTTCCAGCCAGAGTTTCTTGTTGCCAATTCTTTCTGACCGGCTGGCCATTTGATCTTCAGAATGGAGCCAGTGTAGTGGGCAGCTGTTGATAAAAGTCTGCAGTAGCCTATTGGAAATGCTTTTCATAACGCGCTGGTCAATTTCTGACCCGGATAGAAGGACCGACTTGAAATTTGTGTTGAAAATCCGAATTTTGTTCCTTACACTGAGTGTAGAAGATTTCCAAACTGGTTTCAGGTTAATGAAGGAGTATCTCGGACAATAGTAACTTGTAAATGAAGATGAAGTAGTCAGAAAAAAAATAAAATAATTTGAACAACTATATTTTTTTTTAATATTTAGGAGGAGGGCTAAGTAGTTAGGCTTATACATTCATGTAACGATGGCCAAAATAGGGAAAGTGGCTGTATGAATAGCACATAGAGGCTGCATCTGTTTCTTAAGCGACAACCTGATTAAGTTATCGAAAGGAATATCAGATCACGTTCTAATCAGTGTTTTGAAATTGTATATCTCTCACATAGTATAATTTCTACAACAGACACGGTCATATTTTTGCAACAGTTCAAGTTTCTGCTTTTTTTCTGTTTTGTTTTCACCACTGAATAAAGAGGGCACGTTTCTTCGTGCTTGTGCGTGTATGTGTGTGTGTGTTTGTTTCTGTTACTGACTACTTCTCGTTATCATCAAACAAAATCGGATAAATAATAATTCATGTTAGATTATATATATATAACGTTTTAATCAGATCCTTTGGTCTGGTGGTGGGGATTTGCGCGAGGGGGGGCGAGCGGGGATTGAGTGGTGGATTGCACAGGCTGTAAGATAAATAAGAACAAAACTGTTCATATGTCAAAACTTTTTCGATGCTGGTGTTGTTGTTGTTGCGTTTTTTTTTGTTTTGCTTTATCGTCATCGTTGTGTTACTCTCTTCGTGAGAAGTAACATAAGATAACTAGAACTAACTCCTCTGACACAAAAACAAAAAACGAATGAAAGTAAGAATTAAACAAGAGTGTTGATGTTACAAAATAAAATAAAATAAATTTCCTCTTTAAACCAACTATAATTTTATAAGGAAAAGATAGAGAGAGCATGAGAAGAAAATATCTAGTAGTTTAATAAATAGATACTGACGTTGCATTGACAATGACAAGAAGAAAGCTAAATGCAGTATGGGAAATAAAATGTTGCAAAAGGATATAAGGAAGCTGTTCACGGGAACTAAACGTCTTGGTCTTGATAGAGATAAAATATATATATATATACCAATTACACTAACTGGTCAATACAGAGTTAACCGAGCTCTGCGCCGCCTAGCCTTTCGTGTTTCGCTGAATTTTACTAATCTAGTTTGAAATGAGGTCACCAGTGCTAAGAGATTCACGACACCCACTGCCCTTTGATTCAACTGGTAGTATCCAATCTGAACTAAGGAGTAGACAAGAAACTAGAAGTTGGTCACTAGCCATAGCTCGATGGAACCTCTGAGGGTACAGTTTCCTCCCAGTGTTCATGACACACCTTGCTAACAAGTGCCAACAGGTAGGTAGGTAGGAAATCTAGATCCAAAGCTTCCAGTAGATTGTTTCCCAGAGTCGAATGCATTTATTTGTTTATCTTAATTAACAGTTTACTGTATCAGTGTATAGTCTGATGTTTGTTTAAGCTCAGTAACGAGAAGACTATGTGTAGGCTTACTTCTGACGAGTGGGGATAATAAATGAACATATAACGTAAGTATAGTGGTCTGTCTGTCTGTTTTCAACATAGAACTTTGCACATATGTGCAGCAGTTCGAGTCGCCACACTCCAAGTAACAACCAAAGCAAGAGAAGAAAGTAAACAGAAATGCATAACAGAGACAGTAAACAGAGGTGTGAGACAAAGGAATAGTGATAACGAAGAACAATATAGTTTCATTGGGAATCATAAGTCACAAGGAGTGGATGCATCTGCACCATTGAGAACGATTTTGAACCATATCACCGATTGTCTCCAGTCATTTGGTTTTCACCGTCCCGATGACCCCAACCAGTGAGGAAGTCTACACCTTCCTACGTGGCTGGTTTAAACTAACTAACTGTTGTGGATCTCATCGACTCATGAAGCCATATTATGATTTGACCAACAGTAGCTCTTTTCAAACCTGACCCTATGTTAGTCAGCTAGCATTGGCCGTCGAGGAAGGCGATGACTAGGCATACGTAACACATGTCCTAACCATCTCAGTCAATGTAGCTTCACAGTCATGTCGATTGATTTCCCTTCTTTACCTAGCACTCGACGTCTAACCTTGATATTGCTCACCCTATTGTACCACAACATTACACGGGAGATAGAACACAGGCACCTATGATCAAAGACTGCTAGCTAATCTTTTCATGTCTTCCACTCTCAATGGCCAGGTCTCACAGTCATAAAGGAGGACGCAGTGGACTGCTGAGCAGTACACACACCCTTTGATCGATAGTCGGATATCACGTCTACGCTAGAGACGGCGTAAACTGGCATATGCGAAACTAGCCCTCTTTACCCGTGCTGAGATTTCGTCGGCGATCAACCCGTAGGGGCTGATGCAGCTTCCTAAATAAGTGAAGTGGTCAACGTGCTCTACCACTTCACTCCCTATTTCTAAGCTAGGATTCACTGTAGTCCAACGCAGTCCTGTAACATCATCTTACATTTGACAGCAAGAGCAAATCGCATGCTAAACATTGATAGATTGCAGCTCAAGGAGTTCAGAAGGCTAGTTAGTAAAGCATCATACTTGTGTCTACTCCATCTTTTCCTCTTTATTGAACACTGACACTTCTATTTTGTTTTGTTTTGTTTTGTATTTAACTCGGTGATGTAGTATTGTAAAACGTAGGAGAAGAGATTGGATACAGAATTTTAAATAATTCGCTAAACTAATTTTGAAATTCCTAAATTTCACTTGTTAGATCTCTACAAAAAAAATAAATGGAAGCTCTCTGA